TGCTTCTAATTCTCGTAAATCACACCATGTTTGATAATCCTTAAAAATATATAATATAAAATAACATAAATATATATTATAATATTAAAAAATATATATAAAAATGCTTACCTGAAGCCAGACATGTTGTAAACTCTTATCTACAGTATAACGTTTTCTTTGTTTTACTTGTAATAAATTATTAATTAAATCAATTGCTAAAAAAAAAGTAAAATAAATTTTATTGATTTTTATTATTGGATAAAAATTAAATAGGATTATTTTATTTATAATTTGTTTACCATCAGGTGAGATTTCCTGCCAAGGAATAGGTGGATACATAAAAGCAGCATTTTGAATCTGTTCGTTAATATCTTCTTCTTCATTAAATGGAAATGTACCACTTAAAGAAACATAAATAATTACACCAACACTCCACATATCTAAAGAACGATTGTAACACTTGTTTCTTAAAACTTCTGGTGCTAAATATGCGGGAGTGCCAACAACACTTCTTCTGAAGCTTTTTTCTCCTATAATTCTGGCAAAACCGAAATCGCAAAGTTTCACTTGTGTAAATTCACTATCGCTACTTAGCAACACATTTTCAGGCTTTAAATCACAATGTACAATATTCTTGCTATGTAAATGTTTTAATGCTACTAATATTTGCGTAATTAAGAATTTTGTTACTCTTTCACTAAGACGACCACGTTCTGAACTTAATATCATTTCCAACATATCGCCTTTTAATTTTTCCATAACTACAAATATTCGTTCAGAGGTTTCGAACATTCGTTCTAAATTAACTACTCCGCTATGTGAAAGATTCTGTAGAATTGCAACTTCATTTTTAAGTTGTGCTTCTTGTTTTGTAGGAAAACGTAATTTATCAATAACTTTAATAGCAACTGCTCGGCCACTTTTACGATGAATACCTCCATATACTGTGCCAAATTGTCCAGAACCTAAAACTTCGTCAGGAAATATCTCATATAACTGAGACATATCTGTGATATTTTCTTCAGGTTCTGTAGATTGTTCCTGATCTAAAATAATAATATTTTTATATAAAATATATTTTTTGATTTTGATATTAATATATTAATTTTTAATATTATATAAGAAATTAATTAAAATAATATTTAATAATATAAATATAATATAAAAAATAAATCACATACTGGTGGATATGGTAGTTACAGGCATTAATGCTTGTCTAATGCTAGTTTCCCATGATCTAGCTATATGTGCTCCAATGCCACTTTCTGGTGGAGGAACTTGGCTACAATTATCTCCATATGAAGAATCTTCTCCAACATAATAATCAATATTGGCAGTTTTTAACTCAAAGCAATGCATTATATCTAAAATATAATTCGTATTATTTTATGATCTTAATAATATTATATTAACTTATAAACTTATAAACTTATAAACTTAAAAAAAAATATTAAATATATACGTGAATGGGATGTTTCAGCACTTTCAATAGATAATATTTCAACCAATGGAATTTCTTTATAATATTTGGAACTATTTTCATTTTGAAATAATGTTATAGCTTTTGTATCAAGTCGCCAATAATGTTTCTTTTTCTGTAAATTTACAATATAAATTTTAATAATCTATCTATATGATAAAATATATCTATATGGTTTTAACCTATGAATTATTTACCATAGAATCACGATTTGTGAAATGTACCATCCAACCTTCTTTCAAAACTTTTGAACCACGACGTTTTGTATGTTTAACACTTTGCACTATGCGCATTAAAGGAATATTATTGCTTGGTGTAGAACTGCAACTAGCATAGTGATGAAATACACACATAATAATACATAATACATAAGTTTAAAATATATAAATACATATATATGTATATAATTTAATATATTTTTATAATTTACCTTGATGGTCTGGATTTTTGAAATTCATCATAAATAATATCATCATTGCTTGGAACTTGATCCTATAAAAATCCAAATAAATAATATGTTATATTATTAAATATATATTTTATGTGATATTTATACATTATAACTATAATATTCTACAAAAATTTATTTTTATAGAATAGAAGTATATTTACATTGTATTCGTCAGATGTCTTTGTTTCATCTACTACAAAAGACGAATGTTGAGGAGGTGAAGGAGATTCAGCATCACTATCACCATCACCTTCTTCATTTCTATTATCACATTTTCCTTCCGGTTCACTACCCACACCACTATCAGGATATTCATTACCTATTTATTTTATATATATATATATTTTTTTTTCATTGAAATAATATTTATAAAAAAATTATTTATTATTAATGAAATAAAAATTAAAAAAACCTGTATTGTCGCGTGGATTTTCTCCAGTACAGTCTTTAGGTATTTTTTCTATACATTTTTTGTGTGCATTATATTGACAATCTTTGCATTGTAGGCCTTGTTTAAATAAACCTCGTAATAATTTTTTACAATATCCACATACTGTTGGCCTAGTATAAGTATGTACTACAAATGTATGTGGAATTTTTATTCTTGTTGCTAATTCTCGTTCAACCCATACTGGTCTTCCTCCTAATGAAGGAGAACGAGATTGCTTCGGTGCCATTATACTTGGTATTGTCTATAAATATAAATAATAACATAGTAATTTATATATATAATTTATATACATAAATTATAAGTTATATTTTATTATTATTTTAGATAAAAATCTTACCAAAGTACTATTATTTTGACTTGCATTCGGTGTATTATTTGTACTATGATTATCATCACTAATGCTGGTCAAACTACTAGTAGATCCTTGACTTGGAGATCTTGGTACATTTAACATTGCAGAACTACGTCGCCTTTGACTGGCATCATGTGAGCAATTATTAGGTACTTTTATAACACATCTTTTATGATAATTCATTCCACAACCTATAAAATAATTATAATATAATATAATTAAAGTTAATAATTAAAATAATAATATAATTTGTATTTACCTTCACATTTTAAACCCTGTCGAACAAGACCAAATAACATTTCTCCACAAAAATCACAAAATGTGGGAACTTTATATGAATGAACAGTTAAAGCATGGGGACGAATGGGAACTTCTTCATTTGGCACTTGTGCTACAAAAAAATTAATAATTATCTAATTAATTATTTTCTTTCTATAATTTTTTCATTTTTATATTATTTCTATGTAATTTTGTATGTGATCATATATTTTTTCTATCATATTATATTTAAAATTTACCAGTTAAAACAATTTCCACTAATGTTTCATCAACAACTTCAGTTGCATTTGTAATAAGTTGTAAAATATTAGTAGAATTATAATCATGTTTGAATAAAAGCAATCGTTCAAATAAATGATTTAAACCATGTTCTGGACACTTAGTATTTATAAAATCACAAGCAAATTCTTTAAGAGTCTTAAGAGTCAATGTGCTGCTTTCAACAGTAACAGTATCACGTATTAAACCAAATTGAAATAAAAATGTTACTTCTGGTCCCTCCATATTAATTGTTTTCTTTGTCTATAATAAAAAAATAAATTTATATATTTTTAATATTTGTATGTAATTGAATAATATAATATTACATAAATAATATATATATAAGTATATAAATTATTGAATTAAAACAAATATAAAAATTAATAAAACAAAATTAATAAAACAATAAAACATATAAAAATTAATATTTAATATCAATCTTTTTATATTTCTCACATAATATTCGTAAATTTTTGCATTTTTATTAAAATTAAATATAAAACATATTTTTCTTTTATTTAAATTAATTAAATAATTATCATGCATAATTATATGTATGAATTAAAATATTTAAAAATTATTAATAAAATAAATTGAATTAAAATTGATTTAAGAAATTATTAATTAATTATTTTAATAATTTCATTAATAAAAATAAAATAAATGTATTATCCTTATTTTTATAATTCTATTTAGAATGCATTCTGATCATATGAAATTTCAATACATATTAAAGATACATATGATATAGTATTAACTTTTAGCAATAAAATATATGCTTTGTTTAAATAGAAATTATTTTACGTACATATTTAAATTAATAAACGGAAGATTCTGTATTAAGGTAGCTGTTTTCTTTCTGATCAAATTAACATTGATGAAACATAATTATTGTGACAACAGCTCTCACAAGTGTCATCGAACAGCATCAAATCCATGCCTGACACACATTCGTTGATGACATTTTACAGTTATCTCCAGGTGACCGACCCACCTTTGCGTATACTTCTATCTATTATATATTATTATATACAGGGTACATAAGTAGATTCAAATTTATAAACGATTTATAAATTTATAGTATTTATAATATTGCTTAAAATTTATTAAAAATTATAGTATACTATACGAAAATTTGAAATGAATGAATCAATCAATCACCACGCATTTACATATGTAAAAATCTAGTGCCACACAATTGTTACCAAAGATTATTAAAAACAGTTATGCTGTGATTAATCCAATCAAAAACGAAGGCAAATAACTGTATAGGGAAAATTATAGATTTAAAAAATTATAGATTGAAAAAAAAAATATTTAATATTTTTAAGTAAAAATACATTTTGCTTTTGTTAATCTTCTTTTTAATATTTTTGAATATATAATAAATATTATAATTATTTATTATAATATATATACACACATACATGTACTATATATATTAATATTTAAAATTACAAGTTTAAATTTTATATTTTAACATTTATTCTATATTTACAAATAATTTGTATATAAAAAAATGTTATTCTTTTTGAATGAAATTCAAATTTTAATTGTATCATAAAACATTAATATGTATATAATATATATTATAATATATAATATAATATATAATATATTATAATATATTATATTAAATATTATATTTCTATTTAATTTAAACGCTTCAGAATATTTTTCTCATCTATTACTTTTATTAATAAATATATATGGATTTCATATATATATTCTTATATATATATATACAGAAAAAATCGAATCGACCAACAGATATCATTAGACACGTGGAGAATTTCTAACCTATATGAATATATTTATGAATATAATTTTCATTTAAGTTTAAATTCTTTATATAAAAATGACTTATAAACTTATAGTTGATTCAAAAAATCCTCCAATGGGTGAGTCTTATCATAATATAATTTCAATACATTTGGTAACTTTAACTATAAAAAGTAATGTATGAAACAGATGTTAAAAAAATTAAGTAAAAATTTTATTGTTTCATCTTTTTAGTATGAATAAAAAATTTTATTTTATTTAATTATGTTTATTTTGATGTCATTATATATAAAATGATAATATTAAAGTATTATATTTTTTTAATTTCTTAAATATAATTATATTAAGATACTAATTGATTTTCTAATTTATATAGATGCTTTGATAGTAGTAGAGATTATCAATTCTCAAATTAAAGAAAAAATTGAAATAGTTTGGTGTGATGATTGGAAAGGTCATGGAAATATACAATTAATAGATAGTCAAAATAAAATATTGGGAGAAAAAAGTAATGATATTAGTCGTTATTTTGCTAGAACTGCATGTACAGATCTTTATGGTAAATAAATGTATACATATATTTATAATTTTTTTATAAAATATATACATAACAAAATTAAAATTTTATTTTTATCAATTTTTATTATATATATTTTTTTATTATATAATTAATTTAGGTGGTACTAATCCTCGTGAAAAAACTGAAGTTGATCATTGGTTATCATTTACAATTGGACCTTTAGGGTCTTACCCATTTAAGGAAGATACACTTTATTATTTAGATAATGTATTGATGACAAATACTTGGTTGGTTTCCAAAAAAATAACAATAGCTGATATCCATGTATTTTGTAGTCTTTTAGATAAGAAATGTTTTGTAAACTTTGAAAAAAAATTTATTAATATAAGTAGATGGTATAAACAGATGCTTTCATTATCTGCTGTGACAGAAGTATTACTTTCAATTAAAAAGAATATAAAATTATTTCCTCATAATATAAAATCTGAAAAAATTACCAATAAACAAATAGGACAAAGAAAACAAGAAGGTAAATTTATTGATTTGCCTGGAGCAGAAATGGGTAAAGTAAGTAATTTAAATATATAAAAATTTATATTTATTTTTTTTTTTTGTAAATCATATATTATCATAATAGGTTGTAGTACGTTTTCCACCAGAAGCAAGTGGATATTTACATATTGGACATGCTAAGGCTGCTTTGTTAAATCAATATTATGCAGAAACATTTCAAGGACAACTTATTATGAGATTTGATGATACAAATCCTGCAAAAGAAAATGTAGAATTTGAGAAAGCTATTCTAGAAGATTTAGAACTATTACAAATTAAGCCAGATCGATTTACACATTCTTCTGATTATTTTGATTTAATGTTGGAATATTGTACTAAATTATTAAAAGAAAATAAAGCATACATAGATGATACTCCGGCTGATATAATGAAAGAACAACGTGATCAGAAATTAATGTCACCAAATAGAAACAATTGTAAATATAAAAAATTTTAAAATTGTTTAAATGAAAGAAAATTATTAAGTTATTATAATGAAAATATTTTCAGCTATTGAAAAAAATCTTGAATTATGGGAAGAGATGCAACAGGGTACTGTTAAAGGTCAGGAATGTTGTGTTAGAGCAAAAATTGATTATCAATCAACGAATGGTTGTTTACGAGATCCGACAATTTATAGATGCAAACCAGAACCACATCCTCGAACTGGAACAAAATATAAGTATGCATTAGATATTAAATAATTTAAACAAATTAACAAATATTTTATTTATTTTTATATATAACTTATTTACAATTTTCTATACAGAGTTTATCCAACATATGATTTTGCTTGTCCAATCATTGATGCCATTGAAAATGTTACTCATACTTTACGCACAACAGAATATCATGACAGAGATATTCAATTTTATTGGATAATAGATTCTCTAGGACTGAGACGTCCTTATATTTGGGAATATTCACGTTTGAATATGACACATACAGTTTTATCAAAAAGAAAATTAACTTGGTTTGTTAATGAAGGTTTAGTTGATGGTTGGGATGATCCACGTTTTCCAACTGTACGAGGTATTTTGAGAAGGGGAATGACAATTGAAGGATTAAAGCAATTTATCATTGCTCAAGGTAGTTCGAAATCTGTTGTTTTCATGGAATGGGATAAAATATGGGCATTTAACAAAAAAGTCATTGATCCAATTGCCACTAGGTATACTATTATATGAACAATTTTTTTATAAAAAATATTTAAAGATAATCCATATAATATTATGTTTCAGATATACTGCTTTAGAATATGATAAAATTGTACCAGTACATATAAGTGATGTAGAAGAAAAGTGGCTAGTTGTCCAAAATCATCCAAAAGATGCATCAAAAGGTACAAAACAAGTATTAGTAAGATCAGAGCTATATATTGAAAGAGATGATGCAAATATGCTAATTGAAGACCAAAATGTTACTTTTATTAATTGGGGTAACATAATAATAAAAAAAATTGAGAAAAATAATGATGTCATTAAACAAATAATAGGACAATTAAATTTGGAAAATAAAGATTATAAAAATACATTAAAAATTACGTGGTTATCCATACCTTCTGATAAAAATGATAATATCAATAAAACTAATTTAATTCCGTGCTATGCTGTTTATTTTGATCATATTATAAATAAACCAATATTGGGAAAGGATGACGATTACAAAAATTTTATTACAGAAAATACAAGAGTAAGTTTTTATATAAAAATATTATATAAAATTTTTATATAAAAATCATAGATTTAAAAAATAGTCAAAAATATATAATAAATATTTTAGATTGAAGTACAAATGTTTGGAGAAACAGAATTGAAACGTGTGAGAAAAGGAGAAATAATTCAATTGCAAAGAAAAGGATTTTTTCGATGTGATGTACCTTATGCTCCAATTAGTTCATTTTCTTCTAGAGAAGAACCTTTAATTCTATTTCATATTCCAGATGGTCATATTGCAAATACAAAATCAACATTTTCTAATATTATTTCGACTTCTATTAAAAAAAATTCTCAGGAAAATATATGTACTATGGTTTCAAATAAATTCAATAATAATTCAAATAAATTTCAACAACAATTGATATCTAAAGAAAATGAATTATCTGAAAATATTATACAACAAGAAAGAAAAATTGAAGACCTACAATCAAAAATAAATCAAGAAATACAATTATTTTCAGATTTAAAAAAAGAATATAAAAATAAAACTGGTATTGATTGGAGTGAAATAAAAATTCAAGATGCAACACAAAATATACCAAAAGACTCATATATAAAATTATCTAGTGAAATTCAAAAACAAGGGGATAAAATAAGACAATTAAAAAGTACAAAAGCAGAGAAAAATATTATTGATGAAGAAGTAAAAAAACTATTGACTTTAAAATCAGACTATAAAATAGTTACAGGTCAAGATTGGAAACCATCTACTTTAAAAACTAACGTGATATGTAAAAATGAAAATTCTGTTGATAAAATTTTGAAAAATATACAAGAACAAGGAGATAAAATAAGACAATTAAAAAGTATGAAAGCAGAGAAAAGCATCATTGATGAAGAAGTAAAAAAGCTATTGGCTTTGAAAGCAGAGTATAAGTTGGCTACAGGTCAAGATTGGAAACCATCTACTATTCCAATAACTAATAATATAACACATAAAGAAAATTCTGCAGATAAAATTTTAGAAAGTATACAAAAACAAGGAGATAAAGTAAGGCAATTAAAAGAAATTAAAACAGATAAAAGTATTATTGATAAAGAAGTAAAAATTCTGATAGATTTGAAAAATAATTATAAAACATTAACTGGTCAAGAATGGAAGGCAATAAACTATGATACCTCGCCTAAGAAGAAAAAGAAAGAAGATGCTTCTAAATGCGAAAAACGAAAAAATATATCGAATAAAGAAATAAATAAAAATGAAGATATAAAAGATATAGATGTAGGCAAAACAAGATTAGGGTTGGAAGTAAAAAAAGAAGAAAATTTCTTTGAATGGTATTCTCAAATTATTACTAAAAGTGGTATGATTGAATATTATGATGTATCTGGTTGTTATATTCTCCGTCCGTGGAGTTTTGCTATTTGGAAAGCAATTAAAGAATATATTGATAAAGAGATAACACAAATGGGTGTACAAGAATGTTACTTTCCTATTTTCGTTACGAGAACAGTATTAGAAAAAGAAAAAGCACATATAACAGATTTTGCTCCTGAAGTTGCATGGGTGACAAAATGTGGAGAATCGAATTTATCGGAACCAATTGCTATAAGACCAACATCAGAAACTGTAATGTATCCTGCTTATGCCAAATGGTTAAAATCCGATACTGAACTTCCTTTAAAACTTAATCAATGGAATAATGTAGTAGTAAGTATTAAATATAAATAATTAATTATTACAAGAAAAAAATTTCTTACCTTCTTTATTACCACTAAATGTAGCTTGTATTTATAATTTATGATATTATCATAAAAAAATTTTTTATTACAGAGATGGGAATTTAAAGATCCCAAACCTTTCTTGCGTACAAGAGAATTTTTGTGGCAAGAAGGTCACACTGCTTTTGCTACTAAAGCTGAGGCTGATGAAGAAGTTTTAATGATTTTAAATATGTATGCAAGAGTATATGAAGACTTATTAGCAGTACCTGTTATTAAAGGTCGTAAAACTGAAAAGGAGAAATTTGCTGGTGGTGATTACACTACTACAGTTGAAGCTTTTATTTCAACAAGTGGTCGTGCAATACAAGGAGCAACAAGTCATCATCTTGGACAAAATTTCTCTAAAATGTTCAATATTCAAGTAGAAGGTGCCGTAGAAAGTGATGAAAAAACTTTTGTCTATCAAAATTCATGGGGTCTAACAACTCGAACAATTGGAGTTATGATAATGGTATATATTTTTTGTTTTAATATAAAAATTTATATAAAAATATTTTTCAATGAAATAATTGTAATAAATTTATAGATTCACGGAGATGATAAAGGTTTAGTATTACCACCAAATGTAGCTTGTATTCAAGCTATTATAGTACCTTGTGGTATTACAGCTAATACAACATCACAACAAAGAGAGTTATTATTTTCTGAATGTAATAAATTATTGGATGAATTATCAAAAGATAAATTACTTAGAGTTAAAGCAGATTATCGCAATAATCGCACGCCAGGTTGGAAATTTAATCACTGGGAATTGAAAGGAGTGCCTGTAAGAATCGAATTAGGACCTAAAGATTTAGAAAAAAATCAAGTCACTTTTGTACGCAGAGATAATTTTCAAAGAGTATTTGCAAATAGATCTGAAGTGCTTGTTGCTTTACATACATTGTTGACTGACATACAAACAAGTATGCTTTCCAAGTAAGTATCATTTAAAAACAGGATATAAATATTATTATTATAATTAATCTCTTTTTTTAACAGAGCAAGAAAAAACTTAAATGAACATATCAAACGTGCAGATAATTGGAATGAATTTTGTTCTTATCTAAATGAGAAAAATATATTATTATCACCATTTTGTGGAGAATCATCTTGTGAAGATAATATTAAAGCTGACAGTGCACGGTAAATATTGTTAAAATTTTTTTAAATAATTGTATCTTCATAATAAATTATGTATATATATATATATATATATATATTATTTTTTTTTATAGGGAAGATACGGTAGGAGAGCTTGGAACATTATCAATGGGCGCAAAAAGTCTTTGTATACCATTTGAACAACCATTATTATCTTCTGATAAACAAACATGTATTCATCCTAATTGTCAAAACAAACCGAAATTTTATACACTTTTTGGCCGTAGTTATTAAAATAATTCAATATAAAAAATGTAAGGTTGAAACAATAAAAATTCCTTTAAACTTTGTTTTCTTATATAATTTTGAAATAATTTATATTTATTTGTATGAATTGATATTTATATTGTTTATTTCCAAATTTGATATAATAGATTTCATAATTTGTTCACAATTGCTTAATTTAATCTATTTATTTCATTTATACTTAAATTATACTTAAATTCATGTTAATTAACATGAACAAATTTTAAGAAAAAGTGTCTGTTATATTACCTAAAACAAAATAAAATATAAAATTATTTTAAAAAATAGTAATAAAATATTTATATGTTTATTTAATATATTTATATATTTTTTATTGCAAATAAACTATTAATATACTATTTATATTTTTAATGTTTTATAAATTTATAAAACTTTATTATAAATTAACCATGCTATTCTGTTTCGATTTATTTTTCCAAATAAATTTTATTTTTTTACAGAAATTTTCAAGAGAAATAACTTAATTATCCTATGTTGTTCTATGTTAATCTAATAAGTATTTTATAAGCATAAAAAAAATATTTATATTTCATGTATTTACATTTAATATATTATATATATATGTTATAAATAAATTTTTAATAGAATGCTAATTAATAAAAAAAAGTTTACTTTTAAAAGAATTTAAATATTAAATATTAAAACTTTGTTACAATATTATTAAAAATCAAAAAAATCTCATAATTTTTTAACGATATGTAAAAGAAACAAATAAATCAATAATATTCACAGGATTAATAAAAAATTAATGAAACTTAATATAAACATAATAATTATAAGTAATATATTATCTAAATTATAAATAAAATTGAAATTATTTCCAATATTTATTTCTCATTTCAAATATTAGATATTTATTAGCTTATCTGTTAAATATATCTTTACTTTTAATTTTAAACAATTGATATTTATATTTGAGTTATTTTTTAAATTATATTTGCTTATTTCTATTATTTTATAAAAATAAAATCATATTTATCTTTTTAGATAATATAATGTTTAGATAACAAATATTATAATAAAATAAATCTTATTTTTGTTGTCAACATAAGATATATATCAAGTTACATAAACTGTAATAATATAAGTATATTAAAAACAGAACGGCAGGTCAAATAAATTTATATTATAAATAATACTATATTATAAATATTTTCAAAATTAAAATTAAATACAAAATTGAAATGTAATTTTATCAATATAAATGTATAATATTTTTCATTTATAATTAAAATAAAACAATAAACAATTATATATTTATCATTACATAAAGAATATTTTAAATTGGATAATACAATTAGATAACAAATTATTCTATAAAAATAAATCAAATGTATCATAAAAACACAATAAAATTTTGTGTTTAAAGCTTTATTTTTAAGAATATTAAATTGATTTTATTAATTTGAAAGTTTTCCGTATATATATATTTGAATAATTTCTAAAAAATTTTCTAAATAATTTTCAAATTTGATTTTTTGTTGAAAATAAATTTTAAATAAGAAAGTTTTATTTTTTCCTTATATATTTATATTTATTTATTATATTATCAATATTATATTATTTATAATATTATTAATATTATCAATTTATATTTATCTTCTATTCAATTGTATTATCCATGTATGACATATATAGAATATTAATATATTCATGGCCTAATTATAGGAAAGTTGATTCTAAAGATCAAAACAAATACAAAAATTGTTGATAAGATACAATATACAAAATGTTGATAAGATTTATTTAAATTAAATAATCTAAATTAAATTTATTTAAATTATTCTAATAATCTAAATAATCTAAATTAATAATAAATTAATAATAAACAATTTAAACTCACATTAGATAAGTAAAAATAGAGTATGATAGCACTATAATGAAGCCAGAATCATCATATAAATTTCACTCTATCTTTTTTTCACTTCATTGCGAGCACTTTGTTTATGCAATTTATAATTTAATAAATAAATTTTAACAATCCCAATATTTTTGTATATTAATTTTTGCATTTGTTTTGATTTTTAAAATTAACATTCCAAAGAGTCTCACATATATATTAATATTCTACACACATATATATATATATATGTATATATATATATATATATACATATGTATAAATATATTTTCATATCTACAAATTTTATATTATCATTATATTTAAAATATTA